ACACACACACACACACACACACACACACACACACACACACACACACACGTATGCATGCATATGTACATGTACAAATAAGATTAATCTTTTTTAAATGTTTGAATCACATCAGTTATTAAAATCAGTAGTTTTTTTATTTATAACTCTTTATTAAGAATGCCAAAGAAACAAAGGTATTCAGTTTTTCTTTTTTTAATATTTTTTTAATTTTTAAATAATTTTATACATTCACTTGTATCCCAGCTGTAGCCCTCTCCCTCTTTCCCTCCCAATCTTCCCCTCCCTCCCTCATCTCCTCCCTGCCCCTTTCCAAGTCCACTGAGAGGGGGTGTCCTCCTCTCCTTCCATCTGGCCCTAGCTTATCAGGTATCTTCAGGATGGTTGCAATGTCCTTATCTGTGGCCTAGCAAGGCTGCTCCTCCCTCGGGGGGGGGGGGGGGGGGGGAGGGAAGCTCAATGAGCCAGACATTGAGTTCATGTCAAAAACAATTCCTGTCCACCTTACTAGGGAACCCACTTGGATACTGAGCTACCATGGGCTACATCTGAGCAGGGGTTGTAGGTTATATCCATGTATGGTCCGTGGTTGGAGAAACAGTCTCAGAGAAGACCCCTGTGCCCAGATATATTTGGACCTTGTGGGGCTCCCTGTCCCCTCTAGGTTATACTAATTCCTCCTTCCTTCATACAATTCCCTACACTCTGCCGAAGGCTTGGTTATGGGTCTCAGCATCTGCTTTGATACACTGCTAGGTAGAGTCTTTCAGGTGCCTTCTGTGGTAGGCTAGTGTCCCAGTAGTTTTTTTTAAACAGGAGATAAGATGGTTCTTGAACTGAAGGTTTTGCTTAAGTTGTTTTATAAACCAAATTAATGGCTCCTATACTTTTGATGATAAAATATTACCAATGACTATGCTTTATTTTCAACAATATAACATTTAAAAGCTTATCCCCTAGTTAGAATACAAAGTTAATTATAACCTTATCTTTAACAAATATATTAATATTTCCTAAATTAAATGCATATACATGTTTAAAAGAAATACATGTAATATTTTTTATAAGTTAACATGGTTAAAAATTGAACATGTAAAAATATAAGTTAAATATTCTAATCTTAGAAAAATACCATCTTATTCTAATATTAAACTCCTGGCTTTATAGCAAATAATTCATCAATAATATTTTCATTAAATCCATTAACTATTTAAAAACACATTAAAAGAATATGTATATAGGTCTCCTATTTTTTTCCTTTTACCTTAGGTTTCAAAATAGCTCACAACATAACAGCATCAGATCTTATCTCTATTTAAAGTCTTTATAAATTATTCACTATGAATTTTTGAAATAACTATAATTTTAAAATGTTGTATTAAAGTTTTTATCTTGATTTACTGTTGTTTTGTTTTCTTTGTTCCTTTATGTTGGTGTTTCCTTAAATTCTGTACCCAGACTAAGTACCTAATTTTCCTCCAACTAATCTTGGTCCTATGAGGGATTAGATAACTTTGATTAAGGAGTATAAAAGAGACTAAAGACTTTCTTTCAAAGGGTATCTACTAGAAAATATAATGATACTGGGATAAGGAAAAATGGGAAGATAAAGGCATGAAGATGCTGTGAGTTTTAAATAGTTAGTGTTGCAGGACCATGCTGAGGTCTGAACAAAGACTTGAAGGAAAGAATGATCCAGTCAAGTGAACACCTAGAGACAGAAAGAGTCATAGGAAGAGCTAAGGGAAAGGTCTCAAACTTGAAGGAAACAAACTTGAAGAGGAATGAAGCAAACTGGAGATAAAAGAGTAGCAAAGTAAGCAGAACCTTCAAGGAGGAAGGGATGCATGCTTTTAACAGAAGCACTATAAGACATGGCATACTTCACAGATGAAAAATGTATACACATACAAAAATTATGAATATTTAAAAATCTACAATTTACATAAAAGTCAACATTCTGCTATGTCTATCCCTCCTTCTCTCCTTTTCTTCCTTCCTTTCTTCTTTCTCTTTCTTTCTTTCTCTTTCTTTTCTTTCCTTTCTTTCTTTCTTTCTTTCTTTCTTTCTTTCTTTCTTTCTTTCTTTCTTTCTTGTCTGAACTCACTGTACATGAGATAGATTTTTAACTCTTGATTTTCTTGCCCTTGTCGTTCAAGTATAGTGGGATTACCAATATGCACCACTATATCTGGTACTCTCTTTCTCGACACAACAAAGTAAATCTGATACCATAATTTCATATCAAAGTATCCCTAAATGTTTTAATATCCATTAACTATAAATAAGGATTTCTCTAACATTTCTATTTTCAAATAAAACATTTAGTTATTTATTAATGTCAACTAGCATCTGATCTATATTCAGAGTATATTGTTAAATTTTATTCAGTTTTTTTTTTTCAGCCTAGAATTCAATCAAGATTCGTGTATTAGAAGATATGTATGATGGGGCACACCTGTAATCCCAGTATTTAGGAAGTCAAGAATAGTCAAGTATGCAAGAATAATCAAGTATTAGCTAAAAGGATTTGCATCAGAAAAGAAAAAACATTTGCCATCATCCTAGAAAAGGAACAAGCAGTGCAAGTTTCTGGGGCAGGGTTAAAAACCAGTTTCAGATATGTTAAGTGAGATGCTCACTGATCATCCAAACAGCAATGTCAAATGGTCAGCTTGAATATATGTATGTAAGAGCTGGAATTTGGAAAGGAGAAAAAAATGAAGCCCTTATAAAGATAGTATTACAATCTATAGGCTAGCTACACGCAGTGGCGCACATCTGTAATCCCAGCACTCTGGGAGGCTGGAGGATCTCTTTGAGTTCGAGGCCAACCTGGTCTACAAAGTGAGTCTAAGGCTATACAGAGTAACCAAGTCTTGAAAAGTAAAATAACCCAAAAACAAAAATAAAAAAAATCTACAGGCTGGATGAGACCACTACAGAACAAGAGCAAATCTACAGGCTGGATGGGACTACCACAAAACAAGAGCAGAGAGAACAGCTGAGATGATCCACTATAAAGATGTAGGAAGAGGAGGAAGTTCCAGCAAAGAAGACTGAGAATGAACAACCATGGAAAGAAAAAGAAATCCAAGATAATGGAGATAGTCCAAGATAATCTAAGAAGCAATGTGAAGGAATTTTATCAAGGAAGAGAGGGATTAATGGTATCAGCTGTTGTTTTCAATCAGATCAAGTATATTTAGGAAAATTAACTAATGAATTTCATGATGAAGAGGTGAATTTAACAAGAGTGGGTTTATGAAAAGTGAAAAGATGATTGGGGTAGACTAAGAAAGACCAGGAAGTTGTTGGTAATTTATTGTGGCACAAAATACTTGTACAAAAAAGTAAGTCAATAAGTGACACATATTATGAATGCCTTCCAGAAAAGCTTTCACTTGAGACTCATGGTAATGAATTTAAAGTTAAAGTGGTCCTTATTCTTGTACATTCTTCCTCAGTTCTCCTGGAAAGAGTACGTGGACAATGTATTATTAGGGTTGTTTAGCAAAGTACAACAAAGATGACTATTGGTCAAAAGTATGCGCCAGAGTAATCCCGTGTCCTAAGAATTTAAGCTAGATACGATCATTGCTAATCGTAATAAAGAAGATTAGAGAAAGTAGGTTAGAGATGCAAGAAGCATAATCCCATAATCTGACAATGTGACCCAGGAAGTTGGGATCATGGTAGAATCAGCATCTAACAGTTTATGTCATTCATATTTTTTGCTTTTTTTCAAAACCAATGATAGGCATGGTTTTCTTACCTCTGTTGACGAAGGTCGACTTGGATTCAGTGTCATATTGACCAGTCTCTCAATGGGATAGTTATCAGGTAGAGTTTTGGATGTTTTATATATATTTCTCCATTTAAGCAGCATTTAAAAAGTATTTAAATATTTTTTTGGCTTAAGATAGCATTCCAGCTATTTCTGCTTTCTGATGTGTTCGAAGAGTAAAAAGAAAAACATAAAAGCTTTAATATAAGCTTATAAATGTACACAATTTTATTATTCTCATTTAAAAATACATTATACACTAAGTAAGTCAGTGGTTCTAAGAAAACGTACACTCTTATATAGACAGCCTCTTCAAGTTATGATGGCGTGGAAGTGGTAGAATTTTAGAATTGTGGTGTCTTCCTCAGCTGGCAGGCATTAACTTAATCTTTTCTTGGAATGCTGGGCATGAACAGTAAGCCACTGCCCTGCCTGTCAGTTACAGGATCACAAGGTGAGAACTCTTGCTAAGCTATAGTCATTAAATTAGTGTATTAAATACATAGTATTTTCAACTCACAATGGAATCCCATGCCGGTCAAGAATAATAAAGTAAAGTAGTAATTACATTATGATGAACTTTTGACAAGGCCATGTTTTACTATTTACTAAACAATTCTTTTTTTGTGCATGTGGGTCAAAATTTGGGTTAATTATATACATACAACAGAAATATACTTTTACAAGGGCAAAGACTGATTTTATACCAATGGCGACTGAATGATGAAAATAGTTTTCTCAGATGCATTTCTTTCAGGGCATAGAATAAACGTAAGCAATCATTCCATTTGAAAATATTAGTCTTTAAGTCCAGGCATTATTTTTATATTTCTCCTGTGGTTTTCTTCATAAAACGTATTTCAATTCATAACAATGAATGATAAAATTAAAATATATTTGTGCCTATGATAAAAACTGAAAAAAAAACAGGGTAGTTGAAATATTATTCTAAAATCTCCAAAATCGGCTAAGCCTTGATGAAACTTAACACTAATTTAATGATACTTATACTAACACAATGAAAGCTTTTTTCTGTCTCAAAGCACTGCTGTACACTGATTTCCAAGTAATAATTTAAGTCATATAAAATTCAAAACTCTTTGTTCTTAGCTCTATGAAATACTACGAGATACCACTATTTGTTTTAACTATCAAAATTAAAAATTAGTCTGTGAGATATATAATCTTTTGGATCAAACTGGAGTCACTTCCTATATATATAAATTTATTACAACAGCTAAAACTGTCAGTCATTTTGATATATTACTTAAAATGCATTAGTAGTTTAAGAAATGGTAATCCCATATTTATATTTAGTCAAAGGCTCTTTATGCTAATATTAGTTTCTATTATGAGTTTTAAAAAGCTCTGACTTATATACATTCATGATTATTAGAGAAGAGCTAGTCAATAATCTAAAACAATTACTATAAATATGAATTAAATTGTATTCAAATTAAACTGAAATTTTATGTAGATATACTAGATATAGTATATTAATTCAGAAGAAACTTGTAATTAAGAGACCTCAAGAAATGTCAATAAAGACCTACTTTACTATTGTTCTCTGGTAAACTATACTTTAATATACTCTTCATTTCCAAGTAATAGAAAAGCAGCAATAATTTAGCCATGTTTAGTCATTTTCAGCTGTATGAGTAATTGAGATCAAATTCTTTGGTGGCTAAAAACAACTAAAAGGGCCTGTTAAGAGGGTAAGCCAACTAGGAATAAGAATTTGGAAAAGAACTCAAGATTCCAAATAATATTTGGTAGCTGCTGAAGCAAACAGCATATAGGGAAAGAAGTCATGAAGCAGTTATCACAGCTATTAGATACACTCATTCCATGAGAAAGCTATAATTACTGAGGTTATAAATAGATTTTAAAAACAGTTGACTCAGTTTAACTGAGTAGATACTATAACCAGTTGTTATATGTTATATACAACATACTATAACTATGTTGTCTTTATAATAATAACCTCAATGTGTGGCTAAGCTGAATGAGTCTGTTATTAAATCAGTAATAATGCTTAAATTAAAACTTAGGCAGGATTAGAATTTGAAGTTAATCCTAAACAATCATTTCACATACTAAGTCCTAACATAACATGGACAAAGCAACACCAACAACTGGAACAAGAAGAGATCTGAGCAGAAACTCAATCTTCTCTGGCATATTAATTCCAATCAACAGTTACCAATTTGTCTAAAAGTCAGTTGTTTAGTCTGGAGTTCTGTGCAGCGGAGGACTGCTTGCACAGGGTGTGCAACGCCCTTAGGTTTGAGACCCCAGAACTATCTGTTTAAAATAGTTCTTGAAAAGTATCCCAAGCAGAAAAGGACTGTAGAGATTATAAAAAAATAATTTTGAGACTCAGTTCCAGAGCTAAAATCAATTTTTAAGAATTTCTGGTATTCTTCAAAAAATAAGGATTTCAGTAATTTTTAGTTATTGTTTGATACTAGCATATACAAAGAGATACTCAGTGGACTAGAAACCCTAAAAGTAACTGAAATTGGGAGTTTAATATAGGCTATATTTAAATATAACAGAACCCCACACAAAGCAACCAAATGGACTGAGAACTAGAAAACCAGGGTTGTAGTCCTCCATACTGTAGAAGACCATTCATTATGGTCTATGTCTTAGTGTCTTAACTCTGACAAGAAAGTGACTTGGGCTCAGTAAGACCCTTTTCAGTTCTTAGATTCAATCAGAAAGTAACAACTTTATTCAGGAAATGAGAGAAATCAGAATATAGTCAACCTTAGGCCAGATAATGGGAGTACTTCTTTGACACAGGTATCTCTGATCAGGATAAATTCAAGGTCTATTTCTGAGAGTTTTGTCTTTCCTAGTAGATGAGTGACATAATAAAGTTCTAACTCTCCTAAAAAAAGTAATTTGTGTTAGTTAAATAAAGTACCTGCGGACACCCTAGAGTCCGCACACCTAAGGTATATTTAAGACCGATAGAACTAATTTGAAGACTAAAGTCTATTTATAATGAAGTCTTGACTTGTTGCTTTGGGCCTGTGGCAGCACAGTACATTATGGCAGGGACACATGACAGAGGAGCTGATCACCTTATGATATAAAATAAAAAGAGTGAGGAAGAGACAAGAGTCCTAATATCCCTATCAACGGCACGTTTACCTTCCTTCTACTAGGCCTCACTTCCTAAAGGGGATAACCTTCAAATAGCACCACAGATAGGCAATCAAGCTTTAGCATGGAGGCTTTTGGAGTGTATTTAACATGGAACCCATAGCATGAGGTGAATGCTAACATGGTTAAGATAGAAGGAAAGAAATGTAACATTTTGGAATATTTAATACCCCATTCCCTGAAAATAGGTGATAACATGCATAGATGTTGACTCAAACATATTACTGGTTATCTTAAACCCTTTTGCAAATGCTCTTTTAATTTTCTTACAGGTTCCATATTCAATTATGAAAACTAATTATAGCAATATGTGAGCAATACATGGAAAGAAATGTATTGTATGATTGTATGCATGTAATAGGATAAAAATTGGGAAACCTAAGCTGTATGTTTTTTGTTTTGAAGCAAGTCTCTCATTTTGTTTGAACTTCAATTTCCTTAGCTACCAAAAAACAGAATAATGTGAACTCAAAACTGCCGAGTGCTTACCTTAAGTAATATAAACTCATTGAGAAACTCATTTTGAAAACTTCTGGCTTTTGGTTAAACTACAAAGGCTTGTGAATCTTGAAAGTATTTTATTTAATATTGAACTCAGACCAAATGAACTTACTCAACCCAAAGCTGAGTAAGTAAAGAACTAGGTAAATTTAAGTTGGCAATGTTCTGCTGACAAAATACAAGAAAGCACAGTTTATTGGTTGTTTTCTCTCATTGTTAATAGGTTCCCTTTGTGTCAAGTTACTTTTGACAACAAAGTCTTCCTTACTCATCTAAAATGTGAACACATGGTAAAGCCTTTGAAATATTTTAGAACACTGTGGAAGGTTCAAAAACAAGCTAATACTAGAGGATCTTGATAGTTCATAAACTGTAATACTCAGCTTCAGATATAAATGAACTAAAAGGGGATTTTGTTTCCTTCCTTCCTATCCCAATATCTATTGCTTATTGGACATATTATAAAATTAAGATGACATCTGGGGTTTGACACAGCAATACAGTGTTGTTTCCTAACTCAATAGTTTGGAAAAACGAACAAACTTCCTGAGACTATGATGAAATAAACTTTGTTTACTCCTCAACAGTTCCTTAGCAGGGGGCACTGTACCATGTAAGTTCTCTGCAATCCTTCCAGCACTAACATTCCATAGTTCTTAAATATTATTGCAGCTAATGTAAAGTAGAATATCCTTTAAGTTACACACTTAATCTTAGAAGTCTCCGTTATTTTAGCATTATAGGCAACAACAAGGTAAAATATTCGTGTTGCCTTTCATGTTCATTCATTTATTTTAGTGGTGCAAGTGTGGAAGGCAGTAGCAGGCATACTTCGTAAGAGTTTGTGGCTAACCTGGTCTACAGTTTCAGGTCAGCCAGAGCTACAACGTGAGACCCTGTCTCAACCCAACAATAGATATTTTTTAAAATTATGTATGAATGTGGGTCTGTGCGTGCGTGAATGCTGATTTCCCCAGAATTGGGAAGAGGGCAACAGTATCCCTGGAGCTTGGCGCTTGCGAGCTGCCCTGGGTGCTAGGAGCTGAATTCAGGTCCTCAATCCTCCCTCTAACGGCCAGCCTCACCTTTCATAGTTCACACACACACATAACTTCATTTCCTTTCATTCTCGAGAACTCATTCTTAACTTGGGCAGCTTGGCTTGCTGAAGCATACCTGGGCAAGCGGTAGAATCAAATTCAAACTGCAGTTTCTAACACATTCGCTGTACTGTAAGGATTGGGTAAAACATCAAACATCCAGTACACATTACCGTTAGTAATGCGGCTTGTCGGTCAAAGCAAATTATATGTCATTTTTCTCACTATCCAAAAGAAACAGCACTTATGACGACACTCATGTTTATAAATGGTCTCAAACCCGGGACAGTGGAGGTTGAACAATTTAAATCCTATTTAACTTTTAACTCTCTTCTCCTGAAAATCCCTCTGGGGTTCAGTTACAAGCACGAAGGAAGCATTTACAGAGACATCAAAAGAGCAAACGTTCCCTAAACGCAAGAGCTTTATTTTTAGAAGCACAAAGAACAATTCCTGAAAGAAACGGCCAACGGGAGGGTGTGCCGGGTGCCTAGCACCGGGCTCCTGCAGCACCGCTCGCCTCCGACCGTCTTCGGTCCCGCGGCCGGTGATGGCGCCCTGCGGGGCGAGCAGCGGCCGGCACCGCCTGTTGGACGGAGGGTCGCCTAGGGACACGGCCGGGCTCCCCGCCGCCGACTCTGTGACGTCCGCCCTCCAACCCGCGGCGACCTCCTTACCTCGCCCCGACCAGCCCCTCCTGACGCGGAAGGCGCCGGCCCGGCGTCGGGCCGCACCGCCCCCGTCGCCGCCGCGCCCACCGGCCGCTCCGCCCCTTCTCCTCGGCTCGAGCCCGCTGGGCAGCCGGCGCATGCGCAGAGCGCACGGCACCGGAAACTTCGACGAAGTTCGGAGCCCCGCCCCCGCCGTCCCGCGACCCGCCGCCCCTCGCTCGCTCTGACGAGTCGGCACGGCTGTCCCGAGCGCCATGTCGGGTTCTTCAAGTGTCGCCGCCATGAAGAAGGTGGTTCAGCAGCTCCGGCTGGAGGCCGGGCTCAACCGCGTGAAGGTGAGCGGGCGTGGGCGTGGGCGGACGGGCGGGCGGACACGCGGCGCCTCTGGCCCGGGCGGCGGCGGGCTGTGGGCCGCGGCAGCAGTGAGCCCGCCCTTCCGCCGCCTCTTGCCCTGCCCCGAGGGTCTCCGTACGGGACGCCCAGACTTGCCACCGACTCTCTAGTCACACTTTTCACGAAGACGTACACCCATTTCTCGACCTTCGAACACCAGTCTTCCAGCTACGGCATAATAAGCAAGTTTGCTTGCAGAATGCCCCGGAGTCTCAGGACACCACCCTTGCTCAGTACAGCCTCGAACAAAGAGGTGTTTGGACAGACCGGGCGCCGTTCGCTCCGATCTGACCTTGCTGAGGTATCTGTTTACTGGTTTACACACCAGAGAAACTGATTAGCCCTGGCTGCGTTGGGCTTTACCTTGCTGTCTGGTGATTGCATTGTCTTGGGCTAAACTGACTTTTGGGGAAAGGCCTTCTGTTGATTGACAAGCAGGTATTCAAACGCTTTTCTGAAGACAGTTTGCGTATTTTTAAAATCCTAACCAGATTGGCTTCTTTCTGATGCAGTAGGTCGGGTTACATGTGAAACACCTCCTGTGATTATAAAAAGAAACAAGAATTATTAATCACCCTACTAGAAGCTGCCAGTTACCAAGGTGATTTGATATTCAGCACGTTATTTCTAACGTGCTTTGTGGAGAGGGCTTCTATTTCGCTTCCCTCAAGTAGAAGAAATGTCAGGGATCGCTTAACTTCCTTCTAGTGACCTTAGGAGGGTAGGGAAACGCCCATTAGTCTTGGTTTGGACACCCTTTCTCTAATCAGATTTTCACTTCATCCAAGTGACTTAGTCAGCCTTGGCCAGATAGAGCTCTGAAATAGGAAGCGACCTATTATTATCATCACTGATATATGTTAAAGTCAAAAAGTAGGTTGGGAAGGAAAAAAAAAATGTTGGGGAAAGAAAAGAAAGGCAGGTGAATGCAGTAATTACAATAGTGGTATTTGGCCCCAGTGGTCCAAGAAATGAGCTCTCAGACTAGAACTTGCTTTTCTTTGAAAACCCTAGCTACTCTGATCAAAGCTTGATCTTGCCTTGTGTATCAGTTCTTCTGAAGGCTTCTGATTGGGATAGTTTCAACCACCACAAATAAGCAGGTTTTTGGAGTTGCCATGGCAAGGCACATATCACTTGGGAATTTTAAATGATTTTTTTCTAGGTTCCTGAATTAGGTTAGGTGTCATGTCGCCCATGCCATGCCTATGCCAGGCACCGTTTTTGTGTATGACATTTTAAAGCGAGTATAAACTTAACTATTGTATTTGTTTAGTTGGTAATTACTATTGGGGTCCAAGGGAAGCCGCACAAACCACTGAGACACTGATCTCAGGAATTGTTTAATGAACGCAACACTCCAAGACTGACCACTGATGGTCTGGTATACAGAAAAAAACTCAGGAGCCTGTGACATTGTCTTTTAAAGATAGCTTATAAAGGCAAAACCCACAGTTATCTCACATGGGGTGGGGGTGGATAGTGGGATAGGGTAGTCACCTCTGACTCCTCAGTTATTCTTGCTAATTAGACAAAGCCAGTTCTAGCTAACCTTGAAAATGTGCCTGCCAGTTGGGGCTAGCTGTGTTTATGGTGGGGAATTTCTGGGAGTAGCAAGGCCATAGAGTATGCTGAACATAGACACAGTTATTGGTTAACCTGATCTTGCACAGATAAGCTTTTCTCTATATCAGCAAGAAGCTGAGATGATGTGGCTGTTAGGGCCGAAACAGAAATGGCTATAGTTATGCTACCCAAAAGGAACAGGCCTCATCAATTACAAGTACTTTATATCAGGACATTTGGAAGCCTGACTAACAGTTTTGCAGTGTGAACCTCCTGGATAGTGGACAGTGACTATTGTGAAAACAACTTTTCATTTGCTTGATGTAATTGTCATTCCTCCATCCAGTAACCTAGTCCTGGAAGCTTCTAGCCTCCATACAATCTTATCTAGGAGAATGTTTTCAGCCCCTGATAATTGTTGCTCTTTCTGACTGGTTCAACTCAGCTAGCTGTTCTGGCTCAAACTTTCTCCTAGCTGACTGATTTCAAACTGGCTTCTCTCAGCTTCTGACTGAATTGCTCTGCTAGGCCTCAAACTAACTCCAGCAGTCTGTTATAATCTTCTGGCTCCTCATTCTCTGGCTTGGTCTGTCTTTACCTGTGTCTAGTTTGTTCTCTCTTCAACCTGTCTCTGCAAACTCTTCTGGTAAAACTGCATCTGAATTCAGTGAATAGAATTTCCGTGAACTCAACTCCAGCATACTTCCGTTCAACTCACTGACTCAGCTCAACTTACCTGAAGCACCACTGATCGGAACTCAAGAGATCTGCATGCCTCTGTCCCCTAAGTGCTGAGATTAAGACCTGGTCCTAAATTTTTCTTTAGCTGTAACTTGCTCTATACCGGGCTGGCCTTGAACTGCTTGCCTCTGTTTTCTAAGACTAAAGGTGTGTCTGTATTCAAGCCAGATCACACAGACCTAGAAGGTCTTTGGATGTGATCACTTTCCAGAGTAGCCATGTTTCTGTGTCTTGGGGACTAGCAGCTTTTGCATTTTGAGTCTCAAGGTTCCTGTTGAGAGTATGTTTATTTGTTTTTTTTGGGGGGGGGGGGGCTTTTTTTTTTTTTTTTTTTTTTTTGAGACAAGGTTTCTCCCTGTAGCCCTGGCTGTTCTGGAACTCTCTATGTAGACCCCGCTGGCCTGGAACTCCCAGAGATCTGCCTGTCTCTGCCTGCTGGGATTAAAGGAGTACTCCACCACCACTACCTGACTCCCTGTCATTTTCTACCACTCTTTACTTAACTGTTAGGCACACAGCCTAGGTATCTCAGTGCCTAGAAATATAGTTCATATATAATGGTTACTTGAAAAAATTTGTGGGAAAGGAATTAACAGGCACTTTATGCTTACTGCTGATTGTGAACAAAACCAAGTGCTCTGATTCTGTACCCTCCCTACAGCAGCCACTTTTAAGGGGCAAAGCAGGAACCTCTTATATTCAGAGACTAGTAAATACTGAGTTCTTGTGTAAACCAAACAGATATATTCAGTGTGAGTGTAAACTTATCCCATGGTGCTCCTTTGGTCACAGTTTTATAGCTGTTATGGGAGGGGCTAATCCTTGGACATTTGTTGTCATCTTAGAGATAACTGAGATGGTGAATAAAGTAAATAAGGGAACTAGGGGGTTGGGTGCACTTTTAGTCATTCATGTTCAGTGTAACCGTTCAGTTTGTTGTGTTGGTTTTTGTGTTCAACTAGTTTGAGATAGGGTTTTACCAAGTAGTCAGGCTGGTGTAGAACTGTTTTAGTTATAAAACCTCACCCTGACAACCTTCTGCCCTTTATCATGTGACTTGAAAAGCTAAAAGTGACCTTAGTTTAACAGCTTTGACTTTAGAAAAAACATATGCATGGTGTACATGGGCATACATGCCATGGTGCACAACCTTGTGGAGTTGGTTCTCTCCTTCCACCTTTATAGTCTGGAGATCATCCTCAGGCCCAGATTAACAACCCTTCTGAGAAGCCTGTATTTGTCTCAGATGTGATTCGATACATTTATCAACCAAAATAGGATTCCTGTATTGTTATATCCTATATTTCCTAACCAGAATATATAGTGGTAGATGATTAAATGAGTGAATGCATGTCGCTCTTAAATACAAGATATATACGGATGAGTATAAATTTGAATATTTTGAATGGTATTTGGTTATCTGAGTTCTGTGCTAGTTACCTCAGGTTCATTCATGGGCATTTTCCCAGTTTGCTTTCAAGATAGTTTCCCTAAAATGTTAAATATTTTTTGTTGAACTACTAATACTATATATTAGTTTTAATTTAAAAAAAAAAAAAAAGATAGTGGGGCTGGGGAATGTGACTTAATTGTTAGTGTTTGCCTATGAATACAGAAAGTCCTGAGTTGGATCCCAACAATGATGGGTCAGGCCTTTAATCCCAGCAACCAGGTTGTGGAGGCAATTTGAAGCCAGCCTGGTCTACACAAGACAAAACAAATTCTTATTCTCCTCAAACCAAGCTGTTAAGGCTTGTTGACAGCCTATCATATAAAAACAAGACATGGGTAAATACTTTGTATTGAATCATTTGATGTATTTGAATAATTTACTAAGGGTTTTAAGTATGAGCCAGTATAGAACTAGTAGCTGAACTATTTTGATGTGCTGTTTATTTCAGGGGAGTTCCAGACCTATAAGGACCATTAAAACCTTAACAGACTTTTCTCCGCTCTCATTGAATGATAGGTGTCCCAGGCAGCTGCAGACTTGAAACAGTTCTGTCTGCAGAATGCTCAGCATGACCCTCTGCTGACTGGAATGTCTTCAAGTACAAATCCCTTCAGACCCCAGAAAGTCTGCTCCTTTTTGTAGTCATACATCTTGAGGTAAGTTTTTGTAGCACTGACAGCATCTATCTCTGTAATCTTGTCATTCCAATGTCTTGTTTTTAAAGGTTGGTTTGTAGTCAAGAGGACTAATGGTTTCTATTCTATCAGAGTGCTAAACAGATGTAGTAACTGTTAAAGAGGATGGGGACTCACAGAACTCCACTGCTACCACAGCCGTGTGTCTGTACAGTACTGGCCTTAAAAGCATGTGTATTTAGAGGTCCTAAAATACCAGTTTGTTTATTTACCTAGCAAATTGAAATTTTAAGTTTACAGTACTCTGTAGGTACTCTGGATTTGGATAAATTGTTGTCACTGGTGTTAAGAGCCAAGATATGAGTGATATAGCAGAGAATGAGAGAGTAAAGTTGGGTACTTGAACAAGCAAATATGGCACCGGCATCTGGAATAAGGAATGTTTTACCTTTGCTTTTTTCATTTGTTGAGCAAACATAAAACATGAGGTTTACATTTGTGTTGTCAGTGAACTGGATTTGAGGATTACGACAATAAATCATTTGCTGTTTACTATATATCTGTCAGATAATCTTGTCCTAGATTAAATGTCATGTGTGAAAAAAACCTGATCATCCATAGATGTGGCTAAGACTGCTTTCGGCTAATTTAAAATGTAATTAGAGGATACTGTCATTTGTAATCTTTGGTATATTCATTAGTAGTATTGAATTAGGAAGCAAACATTAACAGTGCTTTAAAAAATACACTTGGTGTTTAGTACACACCCTTATACTAACATTCTGACTTGAAAAGTTCAGGAAGCTGCTTCCTAAAATACCTTGTTTTAGGCTTTGTAGATTTGGGAGTGTACAGGAAGTGTAAGTACTGTTCCAGTACATAAAGTAATTCATTTAGATGAAACACAAGAAGGGTTGTAAGAGCTGCTTTAGGTAACAGGTTCTTTGTAAAGAAATACTGCAAACAGTCTAGCCTAGTGGCTTTGTACTAACAGTGATAAGGTTTTCTGGCTTTTGGCAATATTCACTGGAGATTTCTACAAGTTTCATATTTTTGATGATTTACTGAGTATATTTTTTAGACTCAGTGCTACATATTTACTGACTAATTTCACTTAATAAAAAAGTATAAGTCTGCGGTCCTGTTTTTAAGAGTCAACTGAAATGTTTAAATTTAAATGACTTACATTTATTAATGACTGAGATATAAGAACCCAGATTTATGCCTGTTAATTCAAGCAATAAAATAAAACTTTGGATATTATGATTTGAAGCAGTTTAGGGTAAGGAAAGGGTATTTATATGTAAAAGCACTGCTTCTTAAAACTGCGAGGGAATTTAAAAATCGCCTTCATGAAGTGCATATTATAACCCAGTAGGTCTAAGGTGAGGCCCTAGAACCTACATTTCTTTTGTTCGCTATGTTGATTGTCTAGTATACATTAAACACAGGGATTAAAAAACAATCACTGGAGTCAGCTTTAAAAAAAAAAAAAACTAATGTAAATTAGCAACAGAGAATGCAAAAAGGAAATAACAGTTGCTGTTGTATGTTCCCTCCAAGAGGATTTCCACCTCAGTAAGTGTTCTGTGTAAATAGGGCTTTCAACTGCTGAATTTCACTTAATACCAGTTTCCAAGTTTGGGGCCATGGCCAGCTGATATTTTAGTGGCTATGTGTGCTTTAGAGGTAAAACTACTAAACAATGACTTGGAAATTTTGGTAATACTTGATTATTACTGCTTGTTTTGATCTTCCATGAAGGCATGGTGCTTTTCTTGTCTCCTCAGTCTTGCTAAACAGACCCTACTTTAACTTGCTATGAAGAGAAGTTAAATGTGCTCCCCTCTGCCCCCGTTTTGTTTCAACCCCCTCAGCATTTGTTATGAAGTATTCAAAATTTCAAATTAGTAGAAAGGTGAACTGGCCATCTACTGTTTCAAGTTCAATTTTTTTTAACACCTTATTTTTAAAACAGCGCACATCTTTACCGATATCCATAATAACTTACCGTGAAGTTGTTATGCCTGTTTTTTTCTATGTATTTGATAGTGTCAAGCTAATACTATTTTTAAATGTATAACTGTTGCTTCAGTTTTGAGATCTGTGTTTTTCTTGATGGATTGTTTGGTCATTTAAGCTGCTAAATAGTATTGTTGTATACACAGATCCTCATTTAACCATTCCTCTAATGGGCTGCATGGAAGTTGTTTGATTTGTATGCTGACAGTAATATGCTCAATATCCTTGTGACCATGTGTTTTGTTGGTAGGTGAATAGAAGTGATTACATCTTAAAATTTTTTCAAAGGATCTTAAGATTTTCCTTATTAAGCAGTTTTATACCTTTTCATTGTGATAAATTATATTGCAGTAGTAATCTTACTATCTGTAAGATTCCATAAAACAGGGAAACTTGGGTTTTAGTGCCTTTTGTACTAACATTGATGTATCTTCAAAAGTAAACAGGTAAGCAGGCTTAGGCTCAACCTAATTTAAAAATGCTTTTATAAACTGACATTCGGGTGAGCCGCCTTGAGACTGAAGTACATCACAGCCCAGTGGAAGAGCTGCACAGTGAGGGGTTGGTAGGTCATGGAGCACACTAGGGGATGTCACCTTGCTGCTGCTGCACAGCATCTCAGGGCCATTACTGAATAGGCCCAGGTAGCCTAACTAGGTCAAGATTCAAAGTATAATAAAATAGGTAGAATATAAATCATTTTCTAAAATAAAATTGCTTTTAAGTATTGGTGATAAAAATATTTTTAAAAAGTTAATTGATATTTTATATTGTTTTTCCTCCCATTAGGTTTCTCAAACCACTTTTCATGAACCAGTGAATATTCAAAACAACTAAATTTGAAGTCTGTACAAAAGCTTCTCTATCGCACGTGCCATGATATACTACAATCTTCTACTTGTTGGTCCTTAACATCTACCTCTCTGAATTTTCATGGATTTCTGTTTCACAAGGTTTAACTATTTTATATACACTGGCTGTAGCATACAATAAAACAGCATACAAATTTTTGGCCTTGTTATTGGTATGAATGTGCTATTTATTAATCTTTTCAACACCAACTCTTTTTTTTTTTTTTTTTTTTTAAGATTTATTTACTTCTATATATAGTGTTCTGCCTAAGGGCATAAGATGTCATTATAGATGGTTATGAGCCACCATGTGGTTTCTGGGAATTGAACTCAGGACCTCCAGAAGAGCAGTCAGCCAGTGCTCTTAACCTTCGGAGCCATCTCTCCAGCCCTAACACCAACTCTTAATACTCAATGCCTTATATTGGTAAGGCTTCGAGGAACTTAGAGAACTACAAATCTTTGTTTAATGATTGGGATACCCAGTTTCTATCCTTCAGCTACAGGAATTACTTTAAAATATTCCAAATATGGGTGAGGAGATTGAGCTTGGTATGCCATCTATGATTATGATTTGAGTTCAGATCCCTGCCACCTATGCAAAAAGTTGGACATGGCTGTGCAGGCCTATAACCCCAGCACTTGGGGGGAAGCGGTTTGTTGGCCACTGGCATGAGTAAAAATGGTGAGCTCCATGGAAGACCCTACTTAAGTATATAAAGCAGAAAGAGATATAGGGCACTTGAAATTGTCCTCTGGGCTCACACAGGCAGCAAGATTCCAAACAAAAACCTTTTTAGTGGTTACAGCAAGCAGTTAGTTTATACCAAGAAGGTCGTTGCTTCAGTCTGGAAATGATGAAGAATCAAGAACTGAGACCTCAACACAATGCCTGAATGAAGTACGGTAGTAGAGGGTACGCAGGCAGAAAGGAGCAGGTAAATAGGAACGAAAATTAGCTTCAGTGACCTAACTTTGCTCCAGGTGCTGGTAACCTGGTATAGTAAGGACTGATATAGTACCAATACTTTCTCTAGCCTACAAATTCTTTGGGGGTACAGATTAGAAAGTTGCTTTGAATCTTCATTCCAATGAAATTATTCACAACCACTTTGAAATGACAAATTTTAGGCCTTTCAGACCCTTACCAAAATCACATTCATTTATTTTTACTATATGGAGCGGAACATCACAGCAGTCAATCATTTGTTCAAATATAATATTTATAAAATCAATAAATTCCACTTTGAAAAGGGTGTTTTGTTAAATTACCAAGTTTTTCAAGACAGGCTTGTCCAGGAAAATTCAATAGTACTCTTGTAGTACTTTATAAATGGAATTTTCTTCGACTAGTATCCATTTCCCGTGGCTGAAAATGAAAGGGAAGAAAAGACAATGAAGAACAACTTATGTAAGGTAATAAAAACTGGCTGCTTAACCATGCAGAAACACTCTGGGTGCATCTAATTTAAACATGCTGGGAGTTTCTGTCCCATGCCTGTGTGTAGTTTTAAAGTAAAAAATAGGAAGGATATACTGCTGCTAACTAGGCAGAAATAGTGGAGAAGAATGTTTTTCAGGTGTTCTCACTTAAGATGCTTTCCTAATGTTCTTGAGTCTGACGGTGGTTCTCAAATACCGAAGCAGAATCACTAACAGGCCTAAGAGACTGTTAGGCCAACTCCCATGAAGCTGACTAGTGCAGCAGGTCTGGGCCCGAGCGTTTTCCATCCATATGATACTATTAGTCCTATTTACAAATGACTGTTCTTTGTGCTACTTCCATTAAATCCAGGTTAATCAGAAGGCCAGGATACCATATCACATTGGTACTTTCTAGATCATAGGATAAGAAACTCACTCATACATCCAAACATGTAAGTAACAATATAAAGTGGGCTTTGGAACAATAAGCACATACCTTATGGACCCATTCATACTCTCCGTATTTAGAATCAAAGGTTCCCTTCTGAAGAGATCGTAATTTTAAGGTAAAACGTGGTCCAAGTTCCTGAATTCCCACTTTCTTTTCACTCTTGAATATGTATCTTCAGAGACAAAGGTAAAACACTCAGGTTCACTCAACTTTCTGTGGCAAAGCTTAAAGGACTTGTTATATCAGAATACAAGTTCACACTGAATGTACTACATGACTAACAAAAAGTCCCAAGTTACTGTCTCACCTGTGAAACCTGAAGAAGATGTAATCCCGCTGATTGTGGAACGTGGCAACCTGCCTTCCGATAAACTGAGGATTATGAGGAAAGAGAGAAGCAAACATACGTCCAATAGAATGACCTAGCCGTGTTGTAAAATTATTCAGAATTATCTCCGGTACATGTTCTGTGGGGTCTTTGCCTCGTCTCTGGAAGAATTAAAAAAAAAAAAAAAAAAGATGCTCAATAAAGATAATTAGAAAATTCATATAATTTTGGGGTTTGGAACTTAAATTGTCTCCTAGTCATCTATTGGCACAGGATCTCACATAGCTCAGACTGGCTTAGAGCTTTAGTTCAGACTTCCCTAAAACTCAGTGACCCTTCTGCTTCAGTCCCTGATGTACTGGGATTACAATCAGGAAACAATAATCCTGGCTTTAAAAAACTTTCTAAAATGACAAACATCGAACAGGTGGCTTATCAAATCCAGAAATATATATGTAATATTTTAATATGTATTGAATATACCTTAAAATACTGTAAAATCAACATTTCATGGTAATGAGTACTGCTGTTACCAAATTTTTTACTGCTTCACAAAATATCTTAGTAGACAATCTGATGTCATCAGAAGATCAATTAACTAAACTCAAATCTTTAAGAATCTACTGATAACCTGAGATCAATATTGGTCAAACAGTATATAAGACTCACCTTAATTTCTTTACGAAGACGAACACTACTCATTTTAAAATGGGCAGTTGGACCATTTGGCAAATGACTCAAAATAAGTCCATCTGTTTATAAATGTTAAGAAACGCCAAACTGTAACTTAAGTCCGAAACTGAATAAACAAGTTGTTTTCTGTGTATTCAAGGGCACCTAAAATCTACAAATGAGTGGATAGATGTATTTGTTGTTCTGGATTAACCAAACTTAAGTCAAAACACACCAAACCTTTCAAGAAAATATGTATTAATCTAGAATAGTCTTACCTTGTGTTTGTTTGTTTTTTGCTTTTACAATTAAATAGCATCACTCTTAATAGGATATCCTTGGCTTTCAAAGTAAAAGAACAAAACAAAATCTTTCCATGGCCACTACTCAAGAAGGAAAAAGGATGAGTTCAATGCAGCTAGTATGTAAGTTTATGTCCACTTGTATGTTTTTGTATGATTAGGACACGATAGAGTATCATCCAACAGAACCACACATTCCTGTTACACTGAAATAAAAGTGACCACTATTTTTTAAGAGAGAGGCTCTCAGGATTAATGAAAAATTAAAATCAATAACTCAGTAGCATATGATCAGTCCATCATGAACAGAATTATGCTAGATACTATAAACTACAAATTAAATATACAAGATCTATGAGCAAGGACAGCAGGCAAAAGCCCAGAGTCCTCGCTGCAAGGTTTTATGGCACAAAGATACTATAACATCTTTACTTTTCAGTTAATAAGTTATGGCTGGTGCCCAATTATAACATAAGCAGGCAGAACTGTGGTTGACCAAGGGCTTTCAGTTAATAATGCTTTTAGTTTAAGGTGGGGGAAAGTGAGAGGGGAAGCTGGTATTGATAACCCAGCCCAGCAGTGCAGATCCTGGAATAAAGGATCAAGGCCTATGCCTAGGCACTTTGACTCAATTTCAAAGTTAAGTGGCTCTCAACTTTCGTAATGCTGTGACCCTTTAATACAGTTCCTCATGTTGAGGTGACCCCTCCCCAACCATGAAGTTACTTTCGTTGGTACTTCATAACTGTAATTTTGCTGTTCTGAATCAATGTAAATTACTGTTTCCCAATGGTCTTAGACAATCTCTGTGAAAGGTACATCAACCCCCAAGGTGTCACAAACCACAGGTTGAGAACTGCTTAACTAAAGGCACGCAAAAGGAGCTGCAATACACCCAATTCTAAAAAAACCATCAACCTTACATATGTGGTTGTAGTTATTTTTCTATTGCCTTCAAGACAACCTTGGAATGCAGTGGTCTGAATGAGAATGGCCCCCATAGGCTCATATATTTGAATTGTTTGGTTTGCAGTTGGTAGACTGTTTAGGAAGGATGTGGAGGTGTGGCTTTGAAGATGGTTAGTCACTGGGGTGGACTCTGATGTTTCAAAACCCTCACCAGCATCCCCCACTCTATCTCTCCCCACTTCCCTCTCTTCTGCTGTCTCTCCAATTTGTGGATAATATGTAAGCTCTCATCACTAACGCTCTAGTGCCATGTTTGCCTTCTGGCTGCCATGTTTCCTGCCACGATAGTCATGGACTCACTCTCTGAAACTGTAAGCTATCCCCCAATTAAATGCTTTCTTTTATAAAATAACCATGGTGTCTTGTTATAGTAGGAAAGTGAGACTATGCCCTAATCAAAACCATTTCACATCTATGTGCACATAATATGAGATTTACAAAACAGTACTGCCACCATTAGTTCTCAACTTTTCACTCATCCACCAGGTATTACTGCTCTCACTTAACATTTCCACTTCTACAACCACTTCTTTCTTAGTTGACATTTTCCACCTGTATCATTAAAATAAGGTTTCAGTTGGTACTTTTTACTTTTGTGTATATTTTCTAATACTGATGGTAATCAAGCCTGGATTTAGCCCTTGGTTCTCTAAGTAATTAGCCATATAAGATTTGGCTAGGTGCCCCATACTTTCTAACCACAAATGGAACACTACATATCACAGTTTCAATAGCAGTAGCTAATTTCCTACCATTCTGTTATCATTGACTCATGTTCAAAATAAAGACATTAGTTTAACACAATAATGTAGTGGCAAATTATGTTTCTTATATCCAACTTTCCCAAATGTTTCCTGACTTAAAGCCCTCATACAATCTTATATACAACATATATTTTTGCCCTAGTTATTTCAAATACTTGCAATATTTTGCTTCTCCATTAAGGACTGCTTCCAATCCCACCTTTTCATTTAATTAGAATTAACGTACCATAATGCTCATCACTTAGAATAGCAGCAGTTATGAGTCATGAAAATATGGCCTCCCAGCTTCTATTAACCCTGGTATTAGAACTGTTTTTTTTTTTTTGTTGTTGTTGTTTTAAATAAGTATTAGTGTCTACTACACAACAGGCTAAAAATAAACATTGAGTTCTTCTATTTAAAGATTCACTACAGGTTCAACTTCATGAAGTACAGCCAAGAACGTCTCTGACTGCATGGACACTCACAAAACCAGGAAAATTTTGAAGAGTGGTAGTTCTAAAATAATTTTCTCCCATCTTTGTAAAGGCTCGAATTCTATCTCGAACATTCCTTTTAAATCACGGTTTATATCAAAAGCAAAATACCCCAAATTCGTAAGTTCCCAAATACTGTTTGCTTTTTTTTTTTTTTTTTTTTGGGGGGGGGGAGGTATATAAGTTTTAATGTTAAACTAACAAAAATCATGCAAAACAGTCAGTGTGCCTGTTTCAATAATGAAGAAAAGAAGCTGAAACCTGGTCCCACAATGTGATTATTCGGTAAAACAAAATGATGAATGTTTCAGAGAAAAAGACTTACTTAATCTTGACAATGCAAGCTTTCTGAAAGCTAGAAATGGTGTCATTTGTGCACCTATAGGAAATACTAAAGCAAAGAGAAAACATTATTAAGTTGATTAATGCTTTGTTGCAGTATTGGCAGCCTTACGATGATAACTTCAAAGCTAAAATCAAAACAGACCTTGCCATTTTATTTGGGAAAGCAGTTATAAAGGCAGCAATCACTTTAAAAATAGTTCTTTTCTAAAATAATGAGGCATACAAAAACTACAATGATCTAGTCAAACTTAAATTATAATCTAGTCAACAAATGCCCCATTAAAAAGCTAGTTTGGTCTATTTTGATTTCTGGAAAACTAATACATACAAACAAAATAATACACTTAAGTTATATTAAAAACAATGAATGCTGTAAAAAATGGATTAAAAAACAGTGTATTAAAACACCAAGTGTTCACTGATATAAAAAGAATGTGTTGTCCTGTGGCAGAACAGAAAGTCCTATTGCTATTTTTATAAATTCTTTATTAATCTGACTCACCCAATTGGTCATCTCCTAGATACTGAAATTATAGGCACTATTCAAGAAATAACAGCAACTACACAAAGAAATCTAGATGTGTTTCAGATTCTTTCAACTCAAGAGAAATACCTTGGGGTCAATGGCATTTATCTCAAATGTGAGACTCCCAGAAAAAGCTTCTTTGTTACTAGCAACCAAAACATCACCAACACACATAAGGCCTAAGCCTAACTCCCACCTCAGAACAATGAAGGGATGTGCTTTCTGATAGCCTGAGATGAAGCTATACCAAAATATGTGTGTCAACTGTCCAGCACTTTTAACATCTCTTCCTTAACAAATGACTATTCCTCTTCCCCATTCATCACCCCTTCCCAATCGGATCTTGCTCAAGCTTCCTGTGTAGTGATCCTGCCCCATGTCCCTGGAACAGTGCTCTGTAGTTGACAGAACAATCTGCCTGAATTCACTGTGGTAGGTTAACAGTTATGTTTGCATCCTTTACTAAGCATTATAGCAGTGTTTTAGCTGTAATACTTGTCTGATAAAAGTTTTCATGAATAAAAACCTTATGGCATCTTGGCTAGAAATACCATGTTATGGAAAAATGTGATTCTGCAAGCGATAGGAGGCCTTTTTCTGTTTTTTTTTTTTTTTTTTTCAGTTATGTTTAAAAACAGGTGAGGAAAGGGACAGGAAAGTTTCTTTAATAACAAACCCAAAGGATACTTGGTGTTTTACGATCTTCATTAATGACGATCAGGTCTGTGAAATCTCTTGCAATGCACTGTGGGATAATTTTTTTCAGAGCCAGTCCTCGTCTGTAATAAACATGTGAATCTGGTATGACTGTTGAGAGCTGCTCACAGAGGCGCACTGTTCTCTGTAAGAAGAAAAGAAAAATTACCAAAAAAGGAATAGGGATATACTTATAAGGACAGGAATAGTGACAATTCAAGACAATGTTACCAATTTGAGCATGACTAAGGAAGAATGAAACCAGAGCCAAGTCTCATGTATTAAAGGCCAATCATCCTAAAGCACAGGTTTTCAACAAGGGGTAGGTACTACTTCATGGAGCCAGAGACATAGCAGCTTCTGGAGACATTTTGTGCCTAGGACTGGGGCAGGGGTGTGGGGTTGCTGCTTGTTTATAATGAACAGAGACTAAGGATGTGACTAAACATCCCATATTGGGAAGGATAGCACCTCATAACAAGGACTTAACCAGCAATGGTGTTAACAGTGTCAAGGTTGCAAAACCATCCTGAAGAAGTGTGATCAGTGAACCTACATTATTATCAGTTATTTCTGTTTGGCTCACAGTCACCATCAAAGGCAATGAACTATTTCACTTTTCTGAAGAGAGCATTCTAAATATAAGAATTCATGGATGACACTAATCACTGTATTTACCCCATGAGGTCTATCAGAGGTGGTAATGAGAATCTTAGGAGATGTCTGTCTGTTGAAGTAAGACGCAAATTCATCTGTAGCTTCATCATAAGCCACCTAGGAAGAGAGGAGAGATCATTTTGCATCAAACAGTTCATTTAGCTGGGATTTTAAAGCATCACTTAATGACTGTTAGCTGATAGGCAATGGAGGAGCTCACGTGAAAAAGCTGATTCCCTTCTGCACAATTCATGTATAAACTGGGTAGTTATCAAGAATTTCAGGGCACAAACTAAGATGTACTGTATTCTTAACTAAGATTTACTGTATTCTCATAAAATGCCTACAGAACTGGGCAAGAACATTAGTCCTGACTAATGCTACTCTCCAGCCTCATTTTGTTGGTGGGGGAAACCAGCAGTATCAGCTTCTAGGATGGGGTGGCAGTCTAGAGCAGAAGGGGACAAGAATCAGAATTGGTAGGAGAAAGGTAGAAACACAGAGCTTTGCCAAACCAGGGTTGCAGACTACATTAGGGTAGGTATGGAGCAGCCAGAAATATAAAAGCTGTGCTCTGAAGTTCAAGCTGCATGTGTACTTGAGATATGCTACCACTAACCCACAGGTGGCACTAACTTCTCACAAGCTGAGGGAGACCTGGGAACCCACTGACTGTGAAAGGCAGGGACACAAACAAGAACCGAAGGCCTTCCTCAACACACCCAAAGCTCAGATGGAGAAACACACATGTTCAAAGGACTCCCAGTGTTCAACAGTACCTGCCTAATCACCGACGGATACAGGCATGTAATAAAAATGGGCACTCAGTAGCAGGACAGGCTAAAGTCACCACAACAAGAACTGAGCAGATATTGTGCCATGCAGAAGAGAATGACCTGACACTCTGAAGTTTAAGTCAGCTACAGAAACAAAACAGTCCTTAAAAACTAAACTACAGCTGAGCACAGTGGCTCATGCCTATAATCCCAGGGAGGCTGAGGCAGGCAGACTGCCATGAGCTTGAAGCTAGGCTGGGCTACATAGGGAGATCCTGTCAAATAAACAAATCCACAGTAAGTTAATTGAATAACTTACAATCTAGAACTACAGCACTGTGTTGTCTAAGCCTAACTTTCAGCCAAAGCTTGATAGAAAAGGAAGTATGACATATAATCGGAGAAAAATAATTAGCAGATAATTGAGTGGGCTGACCCGTGAACTGAAAAACAATGGACGCCAACATGATCCAGTGTTGAGAACAGAGAAAACCATCCTAGAAATGCAGCAAGGATAGGGAAACTGCAGCATAATGTCAAACATTTCAACAGTGTAGAAAGGGAGTCTCTTAAGGACAGAAGATAAAGGCAGAAAAAGGATTTGAAGAAACCATGGCTAGAAAGACGAACTTGGTGAAGACACTATCACTAACCTCAGACGCTCAGCAAATCCCAAGTGGAATATAAAGACAACATAATAAGCATAGTAGAGTCAAGCTGTTAAGATCACAAGAAAACTTAAAGAGACAAGGCAGAGAAGCAGAAATAATGATGCAGAATATGATCAAAGTACTAAAAGAAGAAAACCTTAAACTCAACAGTTATCTTTGAAAGTGAAAGCAAAATACAAGTATTTTCAGTAAACAGCCCTGAGATAATGAGCAGCTATTAGATATGCTATAAAAACAAAAAGGAAATCCTGTAAACTGAAAGAAAATGACACTAGATGGTAAGACAGACCTAAAGGACCTAGGAAACAGGTGCTAAAATGGTAAAGCTGTTTGTATGTAGACTCAACTATTTGGACAGACAGTCTAGTTTCTTTGAACAGCGTCAGATGAATTCTAGTAACTACAACACTAGGTCATTCACAAACAAAGAGTGGTCTATGACCAACAGCACACTGAAAATGGAGGAAGTCAACGTATGTCAACAGTTTAGCAGAATTATGCAGCTTTGCAGCAGTCGTAATGATTAAAGTTATGTGTGTGGCCTTTGGCTTGTTTCCTTCCAGGGCTGAGAATTAAGCTCCTAGCCCAATGCATGTTATAATTCTAGAGGAACTACTACAGGACTACCATAGTCTAAACATCAAGAGGAATTAAAATAGCATACTAAAAACACAAGAACAGAGAGAAATACAGAGAGAGGGGAGAAAGGCAGATGAATAGAGGAAGCTTAATAGAAGTAGAAGGAAACAAGAGGGAGACAGAAATGAAACACAAATGTCATTAGAAAAGATCAAAGAAAAAACAAAAAGAACACAAAATATGGAAGTCTGGTAAAAACCTCATGAGGAGAAAGTGTTAGAATAAACTACGGGTTTTCTTAGAATAGACTGCAGGTCCAGCTCCTCTTACTGCATGATGACTATTTGCAAGACAATTAGGGTGAAGTTTTAATTTTTAAAAAAGAACAATTAGGAGCCATTACTATAGTTTCACCCATGAGTTCAAATATGTAACAATTTAAGCAAGTATTAACAATCCAAAACAATGTACAATAGAACATGATAACCAGAATAGTTTACCCCAAGAATGCAAGATACTTATGTTTAACATTAGAAAACCCATCGGTGCATAAAGGTAACATGTTGAACACACACATGAGCATCTCAATACTTTCTTTCAAATCAGGAACAAGGCAAGGACAACAGCACAGCCTTTTCTATTTACTCAGCATTACATCGGAAGTCCTATCAGCACGAAAGTAAAAAAATAAAGCAAGAGATAAATCTGTCATTGGAGCAATAAATATCTAAAATTTGAAATGAAGCCAATATTTGGATAAACTATTAGAAGCCAGTTTAGGTACAGCTAAGTCTAGAGGACCACTACCCCACAAAACTACTGTATCATTACAAACCAGCAAACAAAGCAAGCTTCAGAGATGCATGTGCCCGAAGGAACAGCCACAGGACAGGAACAGCTCTAACAAGACTTACGTGTGCAACAATTCAAATTTTACTAACATATTTTCAGTATTTAAGAACGAGCTAAGTGAAGTAACATATGCAGGTCCCTGGACTAGCATTACCTGGTGATATTTCAAATGTTCTAGAAGGGAGGGAACCAAAGAGAGGGAAAGAGAACAAAAAGGGAGGTGAGAAGGATATATCCTGCTCTTACAACCATCATGATGGTGAACAGCAAGATACCAAGGGTGACCTTCAGGTTTATTTCCGACATTACCTCTTCATCATTGGGGTCTACTGTGGTTTCATCGTAGACTCGTTGATTGTCGATGGTCTTGGGTACAGGCTTTGGTGGAGCCTAAGAAAGATGGAAAGCACCAAGTGTTAGAAGCATTGTATATTTATCACTTCACATTACTGTTGGGAAGCAAAAACATCTTCAAATAATCTCAAAATAACCCGTCTTTATTTCAAACCACAACTACTGTTGCAAAATCCTAGAGACAAAATGGAGCATTAATGCTCTCTCTTAAAAATCTAAAGAAACATATACATGGTAAATATATAATGAAACAACTTAAAAATGGGGAGAAGTAGCAGAAATCACAAAAATTATCCATATCTAAAATAATATCTAACAGCAAAAAGGAAATTAACAGAATGAAAAAAAAATCAGTCAGGTGCAAATCCTAGTGACTATTTCTATACTTGCTAAAATCTATTCAGAAATATGAAAAACATCTATCCAGTGACCTAGGAATTCTGTTTGTGGTAATTTACAGTAAGAAATAAAAGGTCTGTAGGGGGTGGTCATTCATAATGGCCGTAAACATCGATAGAGCAAATGTCCCACAGCAGGGTAGTTGGTAATACACTGCGTATCACACAACTAAGCACTGTAGAACTATCACACAGCTTAGCTCAAGAAATGGGATCACCAAACTAAGGAGTACAAGAGAAGTAAGAGAACACGTGGATGTTATGCACTGACATGAAGGAAATATGATAGACTATTTAGGATGTTGGGTGTGTATGTGTTTCAGGTGTGCAATTTGTGGAGCTGGCTTTCTCTTATCACCACGTGGGTTCCAGGGATTAAATTCAGATTGCCAACTGCCTCTACCTTACTGAATTATCTTGCTGGTCCTTATGTAATTTTTAAAGATAATTCTAGGAAATCACCTGTCAGGCAAAAGCTAATTTTTGTTGTGCTTAGGCAGGGTGCTGTGTACACCAGTTGAAAGCCTATTAAGCTGTGCCTCCACCTTGGCCAGTAATGATGTTAAGGTTTGCTTATTTAGCTGATTATAGTATAGGAGTTTCAGAGAGACTAATATTACATGATGTATTAGAATTCTGAAGGTCAATAGCCTAATATTGATGATTTTAGAGGATTTAAACTAATACTATTTAGACTTTTATGAAAAAGTAGTATGATTACTTTGTGTATAGTCTGAATATTTTGCCTTTCTCAAGAATCCTTATTGCTTGTTGCTTATATAAGATGAAAGTGGGGAGAACCATATGCTTTAAAATCCTTACAAGACACCTACAGATACCTGACTTTTGATAAAGCCAAAACTATACAATGAAAAAAAAGACAGCATCTTCAAAAAATGGTGCTGGTCTAACTGGATGTCTACATGTAGAAAAATGCAAATAGATCCATATGTATCACCCTGCACAAAACTAAAGTCCAAGTGGATCAAAGATCTCAACATAAAAACAGACACACAAAATCTGTTAGAAGAAAAAGTGGGGAAGAGCCTAGAACTCATTAGCACAGGAGACAACTTCCTGACCAGAACACCAACAGCATAGGCTCTAAGATCAACAATAAACAAATAGAATCTCATGAAACTGAAAAACCTTCTATAAAGCAAAAGACACTGTCATCAGGACAAAAACGACAGCCTACAGACTGGGAAAGGATCTTCACCAACCCTACATCTGACAGAGGGCTAATATCCAGAATATATAAAGAACTCAAGAAGTTAAAAAGCAACAAATTAACTAATCCAATTAAAAAATGTGGAACAGAGCTGAACAGAGAATTCCCTATAGAGGAGTATCAAATGGCAGAGAAAGACTTAAATGCTCAAAGTCCTTCCTCATGAGGGAAATGCAAATCAAAATGACCCTGAGATTTCACCTTAACACCCATCAGAATGGCTAAGATCAAAAACTCAGGAAGTTAAGCAAGAAGGAGGACCCTGGGTAAGGTGATCAATCCCCATTCAGAAAGGCAAATGGGACGGACATCAGAAGAGGGAAAAAACAGGAAACAGGACAGGAGCCAACCACAAAGGGCCTCTGAAAGACTCTACCCAGCAGTATATCAAAGCAGATGCTGAGGCTCACAGCCAAACTTTGGGCAGAGTATAGGAAATCTTAAGAAAGAAGGAGGAGATAGTAAGACCTGGAGGGGACAGGAGCTCCACAAGGAAAACAACAGAACCAAAAAAAATCTGTGCACAAGTGTTTTTCTGATACTGATACTCCAAACAAGGGCAATGCATGGAAATAACTTAGAATTCCTGCACAGATGTAGCCCATGGCAGCTCAGTGTCCAAGTGGGTGTCCTAGTAAGGGAAGAGGGACTGTCTCAGACACAAACTCGGTGGCTGGTTCTTTGATCACCTCCCCCTGCAGAGGGGAGCAGCCTTGCCAGGCCACTGAGGAGGACAATGCAGCCAGTCCTGATGAGACCTGAAAAGCTAGGGTCAGATGGAAGGGGAGGAGGACCTCCCCTATCAGTGGACTTGGGGAGGGGCATGGGAGGAGATGAGGGAGGGAAGGCAGACTTGGGAGGGAATGATCAAGGGTGCTATAGCTGGGATACAAAGTGAATAAACTGTAATTAATAAAAAAAATAAATTAATTTTAAAAATCACAAAAAATAAAATCCTTACAAGATAATTTAAAAAAAAAAGCATGTGTAAAATTTTTTAAAAATAAAAAGTTTAGTTGTGCAACAATGCAGGATTTTTAGTAATTCTTTCAGCTTCAAGTCACAAGAGCTAAACCCTCAAGCCTAAAGTAGGAAGTCCCCCAGTCTGAATGCCAGGGAGCACTTTCTCTGCCTCCTGAACATCAACATTCCTGTGCTTTGAACACAACATATTACTATACATAAGGTATAGTAAAGAAGAAATTTAAACAACTTCATATGAACAATCTACTTCGAAAACAGACAATGGGCTTTCACCAATCTGCTAAGTTGAGTAAAGTGTAGAAAGGGATTTGTTCCATTATTTTTATACATCTGAAATGTTTTAGAAAAAAACCAGCACAGTATTCAGGAAACACTATTTAACATGAGACCAATCACATGGCTGAAACCTTACGTACTTTATCACCAAGAGCTTCTCTCTCTTTTTTCAGTTTTTTCTTAGCAGCCAACTTTTCCTAATGGGATAAAAACAAACAAATTTGAGAAACTAGCAGTTATTTCACAAACTCATACTGAAACTACAAATCAGTTCTCAGACCACTATGAGAAATTATTATAATGTTTTAAAGTAAGGACACAACTTTTTTAAAGGTCTGCTTAGGTAGCGCAGGCTTGCTTCTGACTGACCATCCTCCTGGCCCAGCTTCCTCAGTGTTTGGATTACAGGTGCACGCTACCACCCCCAACCAGACACAGGCTAATCAATAAGATGTATTTAACAAAATGCTTGTTTTGTCAATGTCAAATCAACGTAAACTTTAAGTACATTTAAACTTTGAGTAGCTTTAGGTTTTATTATAAAGCCACCAATTAGTTAAACGTATTAACACGTATTTTTAAATTAGTTAAACCTATTAACATGCATTTTTCCCCTAGTGGACGCATCCTAAACATCATGGTTATAATGATTAAATTTCCTAGAAAGCACTAAAAATAAACAGAAATTGGACATGAGTTTTCAGGAGGTTTCCAATAAGATCACCATTAGTTATGCTTATATTTTGTAACCAAAACAAGCTTTGAAGACCAATAGGAAGTTACAAACATGGTTGTTCTTTAGTATACATACACCAGTATCTCCTGATTTCCAGACAAAATGTTTGACACGCTCTATGGTGCCTTCTGATCCTCAATAAGGCTTCTAGGACATTCCTCCCTCCTACTTGCAAACCATAGGTAAACAAGTCCATCGTATGAACTCCCTTAGCAACCTAGCACTTACAAAAAGACTCAGTTAAGGTCCTCCAGTAAGAAAAACGCAAATAAAAATTAAAAGAATACCGTGTTTGTTTCTATGTATGCAGTAATAAGGATTTTTTTTTTTTTTTCAAACTTAAGACACAAATGAGCCTTTACGGTCCTGGTCTAGTTTGTGTTTACTCCAAAACTGTGTCTGCACAAGGCGGTAGAGAGCAAACGCAGTTCTTACAGACACTTCACAGTACTATCTTCAGTCATAGTTCCTGAGTCAGAGAGGCCGAGTTTGGGATCTGGAGTTTACACTTCGAAATTAACCAACCCTGGGCAGGCGGGGCAAGACAAGGGGAGGCGCCCTGCGCCCTCTGGGGCGAGAGAGTGGCTCACTTTTCCTGGGACCCTCGGCTTCCCGAAGAAGTGCGACTCAAGGAGCAGGCAAGGACCGGATCCCCCAAGCCAGGCTCGTCCCGCAAAAGGCTGACGGTAGAGAGCCCAGCGCAGAGCGAGGGCCGGTACCGCGCCCCCAGCCTGGCCCCCGCGCGCCCCCAGCCCTGCGCGCCCCCAGCCCCGCGCGCCCCCAGCCTCGCGCGCACCTTCCGCTGCTGCTGTTTCCACCGCGTGAACATCAAGTGTCGCCGCTGTTTGTTCTTAATCTCCGAGATACTGAAGCCCGGAGGGAAGGCAGCCGCTTTCGGGGGCCGCACCCCGCTCTCCGCCGCCCCATCGCTCGCGACCGCAGCCTCCTGAGGCTCTTCAGCGGCGGCTTTCCTCTTGAAGCCTCGCTTACCGCCACCGCTACTCTTCTCCCCGGCGGTCGCCATGTTGTCGAATCTGTACGGAAACGGAAATGCTTTCCGTCTTTGACCCGGGTCACACATTTTTACTTCCGGGGGCACGAAAGTTGCGCTTGAACCAGTGTGTTTCGTTATGCGTTAGATACTTAAGGTACCAGAATTCAGGCTTTACCCCCAAGTGTACGAACGGAGAGAAGAGTTCTGAGTGTCGATCCTTGTGGTTAGTTACAACTTGCTGCAAAGAAACATAAAATGGCTAACATGTTGTGTGTTGAGCTTTAAAGTAGTTGTGACATAAAAAACTGAACAGGGGAAAAGCTGAAAAGAGAGTAAAGGAGCCTCGCCACTTCAGATGCGCTTTCAGAAGGTGTCTCTACCATTGATCTGAGACTTTAAGGAAGTAAAGATGTTTACGCAGTAATCCTTCAAAAAGCCTTTAATCTGAGACAAGCTGATAATGTAAGAGTTACCCAGGCATTGGAAACAGCTAGCTCCGTGGCACCTCAGTGACAGAAAATTTGTCCCCTAGTTCAACACCAGACACAACAGAATTCAGATTAAGAATTGGGAGAGATAGGAAAGAGGAGGGGTGGGGGGGGTGGGGGCTCTTGAACAGTTGAACAGCTCCTGTGAGGGTTTTGTAAAGATTCTGTGTTTATTTAAGATGCAGATTTCTTGATTGTATTTTTGAGGGGGACGGTGACCTGGCATTTTGTGTTATTTTTGAGGTACTACAGCCCAAACTTATGGTCTTGTGGATGCTAAGTGATCCTCCAAAGTTGGATTTACAGCCTCCTTGATTTACACACAAAAAAACAGCAGTCATAATAATTACTTAAAATGAAACTGAGGGGAAATTAGTGGAATGAGAAATCATAGTAAATTGAGCAAAGGTCGTGTTTTTCGCACAAAAACAGCTCTTACCTCAAAGAGAAAAAGGTAGTTTATTCTAGAGCCAAATATGATTGGCCATGGCCTGGAAAAACAGGTTTACGTCTCTCCAAATACCATGTTTGCAACGTCGGAGCAGGTTCCTAAAGCTTTTTTTTTTTTTTTTTTTTTTTTTAATATAGTAACATAACAAAAAGTAATAATTAAAAGACATTTCCCAAATACACTGATGGAGACACTAAGTGGGCAGTTAGAGCAGAGTGAGAGATTTCAGCAGCAGCTTTCCAACTACCATGGAGCTGAAAACAATCCTATTGGCTAGTGGTATAGCTATTGTTAAGTTGTAGCAGAACATAATTCATGTTTGTGGTAATGCTGGTATAAACCCACCATGATGACAGTCATATAAAATTCCAACATTACGACGTTTATTCATTGATGATGCTAACAAATTCTGTTACCAGCAGCTTTAATGCTTCTGGTTTACGTTATTTGCTGCCCTACACTTTTAAAGTGTACTCCCATTTCCATTTTTGTTTCTGTGAAACAGTGTGCCATGTTACATCTGTCACAGCTCTTATGCATTCCATGCTTTTTCATATCTCTTGATCAAATCAAAGGATCATGCCAAATGATTGCCATATGCCATCAACATTTATCTAAGTCCACACTATGTTGTTTGTACAGTGGTAAAATTGTCTAGTAAAAAAACATTTCACAAAATATATCTCCTTTACTAAATAATCCATGATATTTGGAATCATTGTTAAGAATGTATTTTCTATAAAATTTAACCCATACATTGTGATCAGATCAGCCAGGCAAGAGAGATGGTTATTTTAAATGTAAGGTAATAAAATAATCATTTATCCTCAGGTGTTCTGTCTCAGAATACTCTTAAAAGTTATTGAAAATGTTCCCCAAATTTTTGTTTATGTGGCTATATCTGCCACAATAAGCAAAAACTTAAATTAGGGCTTGTAAAACTATATTTTATTTGCCTGATGTAATTGTCATCTTGGAAACTTACTGCCTCCATCTGCTAACTTAGGTCTAGTCCTGGAAGCTTTTAGCCTCTGTACAAGGTAATGGAGGCCTAGAATTTTTTCATTCTCTGAGACTTATTGCTGAATAAAGCTCACCCTTTCTAGTTTGTTCTGAACTCTGGCTGGCTGGCTAAACTCAGCTATTCTGGCTCAAACTTCTCTCCAAGCTGACTGATTGAATCTGGCTTCTCTCAGCTTCTGACTGAATTGCTCTGCTTGGCCTCAAACTAACTCTAGCAAAATGTTCTAATGTTCTGGCTCCTTCTCATTTTCTGGCTTGTTCTGTCTTCACCTGTGTCTAGCTTGTTCTCTCTACAGCCTCTATTACTGTCCTGGTAAAACCACCTCCTCTCTCTCTCCCTCTGTGCTGCTCTCTCTTAAGCCACTGCTCTTTCCTCTCTGTTCTAGTGAGAGTTGGGAATATCCTATTCTGTCAAATCTGATTCATCACTTTGTCTGCCTCTCAATTAGACATTACTTTCAAACATGGCTTATCTTACCCTCATTGTTAAGGATTAAAGGTGTGTGCTAAGGGCATGTCTGCATTCCAGACAGATCACACAGACCTAGATGGCCTTTGGATGTGATCTGAGCAGCCACATTTCTGGATTAAAATTCTGCTACAAGGGCTTATAAAGCTTGTATATACTTAAGTATACAGCAATAAAAACCATTGCTTAACAACTTACATACTTTATTAAAATGGGTATATTTTGTAGAACAAGAACAATTGCAAGGAATTATTTTATGGACTTTTAGCTGGATTAATAATCATTTTTTGCATAAAATCTTTACTGATTAGAAATCTTTGTAGATATATGTGAAGAAAATCTGGCCTTAATTATGTAGTTAGTTGACATCTATCCCAGCCCAGATACTGACACTACTCTTCTTCAGCCCACGAATGACCAAGCCTTCTCTGCCTCAACATGGGTCTATCCTATGTATGGTACATGCAGTCCAAAATTGAGAAAAAGTATGATGAGGAGTCAGAGCAGCGACCAGCAGAGTGGATTGTAAGGCAGTGTGGCCCTGGTGCTGGCAGCCCGGATCCTAGGCACCTGGGCTCCCAGGTGTGGCTGAAGAATGGCATGATTCTGAGCAAGATGCTGAGCAGCCTGTCTCCTGAGGGACCCAAACCAGTGAAGATGCCTGAGGACTCGCCTTTTTATGGTCTTCAAGCAGATGAAGTAAGTAGCTCAATCTGTGAAGGCAGCAGAAGACTATGGAGTCACCAAGACTGACATGTTCCAGACTGTTGACCTCTTCGAAGGCAAAGATCCGGCAGCAGTGCAGAGGACTCCAAAGGCTTTGGGCAGTTTGTCCATGACCAAGAATAGTAGAGACTGTTGGCTATTCTCAAGCAGCAGGGAAAACCTTCCCTGCCGTGGACTCCCTTTGTAAACTTGCTATACTTTACTGGTAAGTGTCCAAGCTCCTGCCTGAGGAGCTCCAGCAGCCAGGCTGGGATGCACCAAGTTTTGCCCTTGGGCTTCCTGTAGATCTTTCAGGGGTGTCCTGTCTTCAGCTCATCAGCTCTCCTGAGAGCAACCTGTTTTTTTTGTTGGCCTGCCTTGTGGTACTCAGATGGAAGGGTGTCCCAGAAAACCCACAGCTCTGAGACTGCAAATCCAAGTTACATCATTAAATGTGGGCTTGGGGCGGCAGCGGTTGCCTCTGCTCCAGCTTCACACCACCCCCTGTGGGCCCTGAAAGGGCTGCCTTTATTTTCAGGTTGTGCTGCTGGCCTCTCTACACCTTACGACTCCAGAGTGGCTGGGGTTAAATTTCCACAGCCCAGATACCGGAGATCAGACACCTGGAGAATCTGAGAAGCTGAAGCCACGGAGAAAGCAGGAAGCCATAACCTGAAGCCTCAGTTATGGCTGCTGCTCACAGGGAACTGAGGAGGAGGGAAGCTTATCCGATAGGAACTAGCATCACTGTAACAACAATGTATAAACTAGCCATTCCTCCGATGGAAGGAGCTATACAGATATAGACCAGAACTAGGAATATAACCCTTCAGTATAAACCCATAGTTTAGTTAAGGAACTTTGTTTTGTTTGGCTTAGAATTCAAGTCTATGTAAACTCTATGAGTCAATAGACCCCTCCTTCACACACCTCCAACTGTCATAATGGTAGTTCCAGCCTCTGTCACAAAGGTCATCTCCAGTCTCTCAGTGGGACCCCTACCAGATTATACTCAAGTCTGAACACAACCCCACCAATCCCTAAGATTCCAGCCACTCCTGTTTTCTTCCCTCCTCTCCTGGATTTGTCTCTCCAATTTTAAGAGATTTGCTTCCTGGTGTGACTCTGTCATTGGAAGAAGCCGAGAAGCTCAGAAGAGAAGAAACAAAAAAGCAGGGATGAGGGTCCTGAGCTCCGCACCTCAGCTGGTTTTGGGGAAACCCTCCCTTGGAATCTGCAGTGCCTTTGTTGAGGCTTCCTCTCAGATATGTGTGGTTCCTGGGCTCCCATGTCTCACCTTTCCCTTCCCTTGGGACATTATCCCTCCTAAGAGCTTTGTGGCTCCCAGGCTTCAGAGTTGTGAGTTTCCTGGACACCTTCCCATCAGAACAGGAAGGTCAACAGACACTATCGTAGAGATCCTAACTGGTTTACGAAGAAAGCCCAGGAGCATAAGAGGGAGTTCACAGAGAGTCAACTTCAGGAGGGGGAAATTCAAATGGGCAGCAACAGATGGGCCTCACAGGCTGGCAGGACAGACTATAGATGACCCTGGCATAGTGTCAGAAGGGGAAGGCCAGTCTTGAGCTACAGCGTCCTGCTTAGCCTGCCTCACCCATGCCTCTGTAGGTTCAAAGCTGCCAGAGCAGCTTTGAGGTGTCACTGGGCAAAGATGGCTGCACATAAGCAGCTCCCAGCCTCAGCACAGCTTCTTACCCCAGAACAACCACTGCCCTGGCCCATTCCCAGCTGTAACTCCTCTCACCGCCCGCCCCCCCCCCCCCCAGTCTTTCCCATCCTAGAGTAAGCAGGAGAAGAGGGTGGGGCAGCCTGTGCTCAGGCCAGACCACTGTCTTTGGTAGCAAATGCCCTCCTTTAAGGAGACCCAACCCAGCCTCT